CCCCGCGACCCGGTTCCGGATAAGCGGAGGAAAATGGATGGATGGATATAATATACCTTTACGGTAGGTGGCCCCACAATGACCCAGCTACGTTTCATCACGCTCATTATTCTACATTATTCTTTAACAGCAAGACCAAATTTGTCTGCATCTCATTTTACTACATTTAAAGTGTTATTGATAGGTATTTTTTAGTCAGATAGATATTGGTTAGATACTTGCTGTATTAGAAATGTTTAGTGGAGACAGGATGTCTAGGTAGGCTGTTAAATGCTTAGTCATTCTCATGAGTTTTTTGCAGGGTGCATATGGTCAAGGATAACTAGATAGAAAAGTTTGACTGTCAGCAGGCAGGATGATTATTGTTATTATTATGATATGTTTAGCCGTAATCTTAATCATAATATCGTCCTAGGCTTAATGTCCGGACATGTCCCTGAATGTCCTGTATGTTCTTAGATACACACCACTTAATCAACACTCACACACATTGATTTTCTCCATGTTTTGACTACTGCTACGGTCAGCTGTAAAGCTGGCATATCAGGTGACGTCACGGTTTGACGTGCCTGTGTAGAATGGGGTTAGCCCAAACCAGATATAATGTACAGGCCTGTTGGGTTCGGGGCCTTTCATTCTTCATCTGCCTGCGCGCAGTATTGGAGATGCAAGATACCTGGACGTGTACTGTTAATTTTACCTGTGATCCTTTGAATAAACCAGCACGGTTTTTTTTATATATATCCAAGTGGTCCGCTTCGTCTCTCTGAGTTCCTGGTTAAAAGAACCGGAAATAGCTTTCATTATTCATAGCTTTATTTTACCTCAGACAAAAATAACTGAACTAATAGATAATTTTTACACTTTCATTAACTACAGTTATGCGAAAGGGTACTTGCTTGCTGCCGGGCACCAAAGAAGAGTAAGAACCTACCTAGTACAGGTGCCGTTTCTTTTTACATTAAGGCTGCGTCCGAAACCGCATACTGTGACAGTACGTACTGAAAGAGATGAAGTACCTACTTACTGACCGTTAAAACAGTAGGTACTGTATAGTATGAAGCCTGGTAGTATGAATGAGATTCGGACGTACTACATCCGCCATGTTGATACATCACGTGACATACGTTTTCATAGCAGCGTCTTCTTCGTTGGATAACTCCTCTCCCGGGGCATCATGGGATAGTGAAGTGTCCATCGTATGCACACTGCAAAATTCAACCGGAAGCAGTAGGTCATCCGGGTACTTTTCGCCTACTGTTTTTGGAATACTACGAATCCGGACATACTACTCGCCTCGCCTACTATACAGTATGGTAGTAGGCGGTTTCGGACGCAGCCAATGAGTCCAAAGAAAGATGGCGGCCTTCTGGTTACCTGGACGGAGTATCAACTTGGTAGAATGGTCGTCTGTGAGGATTTTGAAAGGACAGAATTGTGGTAAATATGTTTAAATTACCATTTTCAGACCTTTCCATTTAGATAAACTAGTAGATGACTGTGTGACTCGAACGTGTGCTGATATATATGAAAAGCACATACTGCGACCAGCTAGCTAACATTAGCTTTCTAGCTAGCATTTATAGTTGAGGATGTACTGTCGCCATAACAACATAGTTAGCCCATAGTTAGCTCAGTAGCTAAGTAGCAAAGTTTAGTCAGATATGTACAGTTTAGCAATAGAGTTTCACTTTATTTTTTTTCTAAGTTTAATACTGAAGATAATGCTGTTGTGGCATTCCAATTATTGAGTAAAATTATGAAAATGTTATTTATTATTAACAAATACACTGTGGATGCTAAAACTCACTGCTAAGTGTAAGTCATAGCTATCTTATTAAACAGTTCACGAATAACAAGGCCTTTTAAGTTAATATATTTCAAGGAATTGATAATACAAATTGTAGGATAAATCAAAATTATTATGGAAAACCATTACAACTATTTGTGGTTTTCACAAATTTTATTTTGTGTATATGTAAAGTGGGTTGTGCATGAGAGAGAGTATATAGACCGGTTTTCATCAAACTCATTTAGACGGTTCTAGATGAAAGGTTAAACGGTTCTAGATGAAAGTTTAATCAATCAGAACCGTTGTCCCGCCCCTCCCTTCTCCCCCTCCCTCTCCCCCTTCCTCCCCCACCCTCGCTCCCCCTCCCACAACATGTGTAAAATCCATTGGTCAAAAGTTCACCTCCTTATGGTTGAATCTAAAAAAATAAAAGACCATCACAAACAGAGTAGTGGATATTAATCTTCAAAATGAGAAGAGCTATTTTTATTATTTGGGTTTGTTTGTAATGTTATATAGTGAATAAAACAAATGCTACACACAACTAAAAGAGAGTAGTGATCTCCTTGAGTTAAAGGTGTGTGAAACACCAATTTTTCTAGTATTAGAGGGTTTGTATATTAAATAGGAGTTGAACAGATGCCCCCTCTCTGAGTTAAGGTGTGAAACAGCTAGGTTTGTTTATTCAGCTTCAACGCTTCTGATTGGTTAACCTTTCACCTAGAACTGTCAAAATGAGTTTGATGAAAACCGGTCTATATACTCTCTCTTGCATGCAAAAGTGCTCACAGTAACAATGCAACATGCTGATACTGGTTTGGTACCATTGTTTTTGAAGCTTTGTTCAACATTTTAGTTTTGAATATCAGCATGCATGCTAACATTTGATAATTTGCACTAGTACAGCTGAGGCTGAGCTAGCACAAAAGTCAGGGGATCACCATCATTCTGAATGTCTGCACAAACATTCATGGTAATCCATCCAGTAGTTGCTGAGATACCCACCCATTGTAAAGGTGTACGGACAAGGAAAAAAACAAACTGGAAAACAAAAAGTTCTGGAACTGAACACAATTGGAGACACTGAACAACATTATCATGAATCGGACGATGACTTTGACCCTAAAAAAAACTTTAAGAACTCTGAAAATAACTGCAAGTATTACACGGATGAGCAGTTTAACAGCAATGTTAAGACTGAAAACAAATTATCATTAATTCACTTTAATAGCAGAAGTTTATACGCAAACTTTCAGAGTATAAAACATTATCTTAGTAGTCTGACATTCTTTTAATATAATTGCTATTTCTGAAACTTGGATTAACACTGTAAGGGGAATGGATTTTGACCTTGATGGCTATGACTTGGTATGCACAAACAGAGAATAAGATGGGAGGTGGTGTGGCCTTGTACATAGATAAAAACTTTTGTTTTAAGAGAGTGGAGAAAATGTCAAGGGTGGTGGATAACTTGCTGGAGTGTGTGACTGTAGAAATACTTGTGGAAAAAAAGAAAAAGGTTGTAGTAAGCTGTATTTATAGAGCACCTGGAACCAGCATAGAAAAATTTAATGACTGGATGGAGGAGAACTACTTGACAATAAGTCATAAATTAATGTTCATATGTGGT